TAAAGGAAGCTCTTGCCTTCCGGTGGGAGGACCCACTCCAAACCTCATGCCTTGGAGAAAACCTAGGAAAGGTGAAGAGACCCATTATGTTCTCCTCCCAAAACGGGGCCGTAAGAATGGCGGGCCTTGGGTCTGGTTGCCATTTGCTGAGTGGCTGAGGGGACTTCCACTTTCCTGCCACACTTTCTCCCATGCCAAGACCTGGGGTGATACTGATAGGGCCCTGAAAAGACCTTGGCACTAGATAACTCCACTCCGCCCCTGCTGAAGGCAGGCGTGTGTCCATCCTGAGCGGGCAGGGGTTGACCAGGCCTATCACCCATTGCTGATTTTTCCTTCCCTTTGTTCCATTATTCCTCCAACATTCACTGACACTATTGCCTGACACAGTGCTAAGCACTGGACTGGAAGTACAGCTGGGTAATTCAGAGCTTTTTCTTCTCAGGGGCTCACAGTTCATGGAGAAGAGACTGTGGAAAACACTGAGAACATTGTAATGAAGTGAACTATGTGCTAAATCCATAGCCGGGGACAGAGGGCGAGGGCAGCCTGAAATACAGGCTGACATTTGAGTGATATTTTGAGATGGAGTTTACTGAGCACTGAAGGGCATTCCAAACAGCTAGCACAGCTGGTGTAAAAACCAAGATTTCTGCAAAAATGCGTTCGGAGAAGGGTGGGAAGCTGGTGCGACCTAACAGAAGAGGCATTGGAGAAAATAGCGAAAGCTGGGCTGGCTACGAAAGGCTGTTTGGATATTGACTTGGCCGCTTTAACAGATGCCGGGACCATAGTGGCTTCCCTAAGCTAGATGCTTCTTTCTCTCTTAAAAGGCCAAGTGGAAGGTAGCTCAGGAATGCTCTGCTGTGCCACGTCGTTCCAGGTGCCCAGGGTCATTCCCTGCGTGTCACTTGTATGGCTGACGATGGCTCCAGGACCAAACCATCTCCGCAATTCCACAAATGGGAAGGGTTTGACTTGGAAGGTCTGTTTACATCCTGTAAACCAGGCAGGCATCTGGACATACCTTGTTGCAAGGAATGCTGGGAAATGTAGTTTTTCGCTGGGGTGGCCATGTGCCCAGCCACACCTTGGGGGTTCCATGAACTACTTTACAGGATGCTGGGAGGCGGCTAAAGCAGGGCAGTCCTGTGGTTTAAAAAGTGTCTTTTTGGGCACACAGTGCAGCAGACTGGTCATGTATTGTAGAACTGTGCACTTGAAACTCATATAATCTTATTAACTAATGTCACCCCTGATAAATTTAACTTAAAAAAGAAGTGTCTTTTGACAGATGGGGCCAGCAGCAACATGGCCAGCCACCGCGGGGCTGCTGTAGTGACAGGAAGGGGAGAAGCTGGGGTGAAGTCCACCCTGACTGCCCGGCTGAGCCTGGCCTTTTTTGATGGTGGGACAGGCTGGGGGTCGGGGGATCCAGGCTGTTGTTGGGTAGAGCTGTCAGAGCCATGGACCTGTTGGGACCAGGTTCAATTAGGGGGCTGGTGCCCTGCATTTGAGACTTACCTAAGAACACGTTTTTTTTACAGCGTGTTAGTAACGTGAGTTGCAGCTGTGCAGAAGTGACGACTGCCGTGACGGGGCTCTCTTCCCCCAGGCTGGCCCACCCGGGTCCTTTCCCACCATGAACTTGAGGCAGCTCCAGGAGAGGGAGCAGCAGGGCCGTCCTTCTCGGCCCCTGATCCTTCGTGGTTCGGCAGACAGGTCACCTCAGCTCTTGGCTCTGCTCCCTGTGCTTTGGAAGGGAAAACCGTCCCAACACCTCCTCCATTGTCCATGTGTGTAATTGAATATCCTTGCCGTACTCATGAAATCTACCTGTTCAGAACGGGAACTTCCAGCTCAGAACATCCTGGGAGTTCCCCAGCATTTCTAGAGTGCCCGCCCAGGGGACAGGCAGCAGATGGCAGAGGCAAGAACACAGCTTTTAGGCTGACAGCTGAGGCGTCTCACACAGGGTCTGTCACTTATTGAGGTATGTAACCTTGACCAGCAGGATATTCCCCAGTCCTGCCCTGGCTGGGTACCTCAGTTGGTTAGAGCATTGTCCCAATACACCAAGGTTGCAGGTTCGACCCTGGGTCGGGGAACACATCCAAGAATCAACCTATGGATGCACAAATAATGAGAACAACATATTGATGTTTCTCTCACTATCCCTTTCCCTCTTTAAAATCAATTTAAAAATTATTTTTTAAAGATGTTATCTTAAAAAAAAAAGATATCCCACAGTCCCTGTGAATCTCAGCTTTCTCATCTATAAAACAGCACAACTATCTCTGCCTCAGGCTGCTGGGAGGGTCAGAAAGCTCCTGGCTTGGTGTTTGGTACTAGAAAAGCAAAATTCCTGGGGAACGTGTACTACGTTCACCCAACCTCAGGTCTCAGTGGGTCTTCTCCATGAGCCAGCTGTTGCATCCCCCTCTACAGGAGGACCCAGGGCTTCTGGCCCGGCGGCCAAGGTCAAGCAGAGCTCCCCGAGCTGACCTTGTAATCCTTTCCTGTGCCCTCATTCTCTGCATCTTCCAGGAAGCTGAAAACTTGGCTTTGTTTGCTTGGCTGGTCATGTTATTGAAGAAATCAAATAAACAGAGTTCTGTTTTGGTTTTTTTTAAGGCATTTTGGCACAGCTTCACCTTTTGATACTTTATCCCACTGGCCATCATATGCTTTAAAGAAAACAATATCACTTGGGCACAAGGACCCACACTGTAAATAGGTTGACCTTCACCCTGGAAATGTAGAAGGACAGGTCAAATCTCAGTGTTTGAGCAGCTGCCAGTGTGCTCACAAGTGACACGTTATTCTTAGAAGGGAGATATATATATATCTTTGGACACCATTGCCTTCTCCACTGCCACATAGCAGTGGCACCAGAAGATTCCAGCCTCATGTGTGGGTGCGTCATGCAGGAATGTATTGGTCCGCTGCTCGTTCTAGGACAAGCCAGGGCTGCCTTCCAGGGGGCAGTCAGGTTTAGCTGAGAGGTGCCACCGGCTGGGCATCTGCCTTCCTTGACCCCGTTTCCCCTCAGGCTGGTGGCAGCCATTTTCTAGCTGTGGGAGCTCTCCCTGAGATGAGCTTTGGGGGAATTTTCACTTGCTTGATTCAGAGGAAGAAACTTCATTATGGGCTATGGGTCGATGTTGAACCTTTTGGACGGTGTTTGTGGTTAGAGGAAGAGGAGACAAAATAGGAGATGCCTTCTGCCTTGGGTGGGGGGGTGGCTGTTGGCTCTGGCTGAGAGGAGGACGTAGTTCTGTGGGGACCGCACTTCGCTGAGTGGCGGAGTTGGCCGAAGTGCCAGGTGTGCACACTGTGATGTTTCCCACATGAGGCAGGGGATTCCGAGCTCAGCTGTTGTCATCCTTCCAGGAGCTTCCCTAAAGCTCTGTGTCAAGTCCTGAATGTCTTCACTTTCTACTTAAAACTCTGTTCCTCAGCTTTGGACAAACCACACTGACTTCCTTAACCGAAGGGTCTACCGGGAAGCTTTGCGAATTGGACTGAGTGAGAAGGCAGTGTGGGGTGGCAGGTGGCCCGGCGGGGGGGCGGGGCCAGGCGACCTCTGTGGGCTCCTGCCCAAAGGAAGACAGTTGGTCTCTTCACCTGTGGTTCCATATGTTTTTGGGGGACCTATGACAGTAGGTCCCAAGTACTTTCTGTGACATGGGTTGATACAGCGATTGACATCAGAGCTAGTTGATAGACACCCATTAGCATTTATTTAATTCCTTCTCCCTGGGGGAAGGGAAGTTGTGTAAGACTGGTTCTTGCCCTGGGAACATTTGCCCGCTTGCCACTGTGTGCAGTTTAATTAAAAGACCCACTTGAATGTGCTTTGTATGGATTGAATGCCCTTCCTAGGCATCACCGGCAGCCCCTGGGCACAGCCTGGGCCAGGAACACGAAGGGTGCGGGTGGCGGATCGGGGACAACTGTGTGTGGAGCGGGATGACGTGAGGCGACGAGCCATCTATGGATGTGATGAATGTCCGAAGTTTGCCATCTCACAGGGAGATGGGTCAGATTTTAAAACACCCAGAAGACGGAACTTTTAAGTGCAGTTACAGAAGCTCTGACAAAATGCTGTGTGTGTATAGTGGTCCCTTGGTGTCCTGGGGGGATTCGTTCTAGGATCCCCGCAGAAACCAAAATCCACGGATGCTCAGGTCCCTTATATATTTGCATATAACCTACACCCATTCCCACTTATACTTTTAATCATCTCTAGATTACTTATAATTCCTAATACAGTACAAATGCTATGGAGATAGCTGTGACACTCTATTGTTTAGGGAACAATGACGAGGAAAAAAGCCTTGTACCTGTCCCGCACAGATGCAGTCGTCGTAGGCCTCACTGCAGAACACACGTCACCAACGGGGTAACTGCCCCTGCCCCCCCGCCACCGTAGTTTTCATTGTTGGCTGAATCCACAGAGGCATACGGAGGGCTGACTGCGTAGAAGCAGGAAGACAGGTTAACTCTGCTTATTGGGGGGTGGGCACCTGGTGTTTTACTGGTTGGAAGCCCGTGAGCTACAGCTTCACAAGGGCAAGACCATGGCTGTGTGTTTGCCATTGTGTCTCCTGTGTCTCTGGTAATCGGGATATATTTGGGTGGATGCATGGGGGAAATGCAGGTGGATGAACAGATGAATGAATGAATGAATGAATGAATGCAATGAAAACAAAATCCGACGTGGAGGGGACAGCTTGAATGGTAAAAGAGGGGCAGAAAGAAGTTTGGCATATTGGCGAGACTGTAACTGGTTTGGCTTCAGTGTGGGGTGATTGGGGGAGCGTGGCCAGAGAAAGGCTTGGAAAGAAAGACTTGGCCCAGGTGCTGAAGGCACAAGAACCTTGCCTTTACTTTGCAGGACGCGGGCAGCCAAGCAGCAGGAACTATTCCAGGTTGTTCTTGGCACTGGGCTCGCGCATCTGGGTCTGAGTCCTCATTTCTCCGTCTTCTCTCTCTAGACGTGTGCAACAGCACCGACCTTCCGGAAGTCGAGATCATCAGCCTGCTGGAGGAGCAGCTGCCCCATTATAAGTTAAGAGCTGATACCATCTATGGTTATGACCACGACGACTGGCTCCACACGCCCCTCATTTCTCCAGATGCCAGCATCGACCTCACAACCGAGCAGATCGAGGAGACGCTGAAGTACTTCCGTGAGTAGATCCCCGCTCGGGGCACGAGGGTGACCCTGGCTTCTTAGCCACGTCTCAGACGTGACCTTGTACCGGTTACCAAGGCACATGGCTGCCATCCGTGGAAGGTGTGCAAAGAAATGTGGCGGTAGGGTAGGCTTTAGCCACATAAAAGGCCTGGATGTTAAGTATTCTGATTAGAAATTTTAGAGCAGTGGGGAACAAGTACGGATTTCCATTTGAACCAGCTTCCTCTTAACTATGCAGAAGAATTTGAAAACGCTCCCATTTTTTTCCTCCAAACCCAAGGTATCATGTGAGTCCTTAGAAGTTCTTACTGGGAGGGAGTTTGGAAAGAAGTTTGTCAGCATTCGAACCACAGGTCCTGGGGCATCTTGGCCCCTCGATATTTATATGACCCAGCAAGACATGTGGACCAAGGCTGGTGATTTCTGGGTGAAAGGCCACTGAGCTGGATACCCAGGGGACTCAGAAGGCCGCCGCAGCAGCGCCGTGGATGTGCCCGCGGCTGTGGAGCTGACGTCCGGTGCGGGGAGCAGTACGCCAGGCGGTTGTTTTCAGTGTGTTCGTGATGACAAGGGTGTGCAACCTGATTTTGCAGCCTTGAAAAAAAAAATGTTGGGATGATTGAAAAAATTGATATGAAGGATGTTTTCTGATGTTCATTCAAGAGGTGCCTTTGGAGGAAGATGTTACTCTTTAGGAAGCCGTGGCCGCCCTCTGACTTTGTTGGGACAGAGCGTGTCCTTTGTTTTGACACCTCTGGCTTTATAATTCAAGTTAATTTGAGGCTGGCCTAAATGAGTGATGTCACTCTCAAAGCGGCCTCAGTTACATATCTGTGTATCACTGTGTCACCTGGAAAAAAAGTACAGTGGCCCTGCTTCCCCTTGGAAATAACTTGGTTCGAATGCATCTGTGAATTTTTCTGTCATTTTCTCTACAGATGGATCTTCAGCGTTCTTGAATTTGTAAAACCATTTATAATAAACAAGTCAGAGCAACCAATTTCTCCATGAGGGTGTCTCTGAGGCTGTTTTCACATTTTCTCTATCAGATATTGATAAGGAAGGCATTTTATTTAAATTGACCAGTGATTTTATACCTAACACACACCCTACCGCCTCTGTGTGAGCTCTGCAGAGGATCAGTTTTGGTAGCAATAAAAATTGAGTCATCTGCGCACCAAGGCAGATGCAAAGTGTATCAGACTTGAACTCTTGTTCAAGTTGAGGCCACAGAACTTCTGGGGTGTCTCATGGTGTACAGGAGAGTCCCTCTGTGAGTCACTTTTTGTTTACTCATAGTGTCTGTACTGGCAAGGACGTGGAGTATTGTGTGGAAATCTGTATCTGGACTAACCTGCTGGGTAGACTCCGTATTTGGCTCTTTCAGGCTGTTCACAGAAGTCACAGCAGAATTATTCTTCTGTAAATTTCCGTGTGGTGCATTACTCTACCTTAAGATTCTGCAGGACCCCTCATGGCTGTTTCCGACTCAGGAGGCTCCTGGGTCTCTCCTCAGACATGCTGATCTGCCACTTTTGTTCACAGTGTACTCGGAGCACCATCCATGGGCACTATCTCACTATTTTCAGAGAACTTGTACATGAATTGCCCCACGTCATTTCTATAAAATCTCTCCAGTTTAGGCAGGGCTGGTTTTATTATAGAGGAAGTAGAAGAGTGGAGGACTCATGGTATTTGTTCCACAGCGCCTATCCACAGCTTCTAAAACCTTGAACAGTAGACTTGAAGACTTTGTGCCCTATTTTTTTGTGTATCTGTTTTGCTTCTAGTTATGTAGATTTAAGAGAGAAAAAGAAAAGAAACCGTGGTAGATTTGGCAGTGGATAACACAGATTAAAGCAAAACGGGAAGAACCAAGATCAACACCGAGCAGAGATGCTGAAAGTCGTTGGAGTACAGTTGCATCAAGTCTTACCTTAGTTCCGTATTTTCCTCTGTGGTACCTCTGCTTAGAGCAAAGGAGGTATTTTCTAAATATCTATTAAATGAGCGACCAGGTGTTAATTCTTAACTTAAATGTTATATAACACCTTCTGGAGTAGGGCTTTCCAGCTGAGGTTCTGTGGGGGCCCCAACGGGTCTGGAGAGACAGATGAGGATTCTATGACCTTATAAAGGAAAAAGGTACATCTTTATTTTCATTAGCTCCTAACTGAAATGCAGCATTTCCTTTCATTATGAACGTAGAAAACAGCACAAGGGTATTATCGGGACCTGTGACCCTGTCCCCAGTAGAATCACAGATGTCATGCTATGGGAGAAGCTGATGCATTGAAATATCACCTTTACTAATCATTGCTTTGCAATTACATTCAGTATTAGATGTTGTTATTTAATGCATGGAGAAAGAAGCACATAAATCCCAGACTTTTTTCACGTTTTAGTAACTGCGTTACAATGCCATTGGTTTCCTTTGTAGGCCTTTGCATTTTGTCTTCACATCTTTCTCCTGAGGCGGGGCCTGTGGGCCTCACCAAACTGGCTGAGGGGCTGGGGTGGGAGGCGACATGGGTTTGGAGCCCTGCTGTGCACCTGGTGGCTCTTTCAAGTTTGTTTACAGGTGTGTAACCCAGGAGATGCTGTGAGTCACGGCATTGTGACTCACTGGTGTGTTAAATCAGATGTGAACCCTTCCTTCGTTTGAGATTTTCCTGCCTCGGCCAAGGCAGGGTTCTCTGTTGTGGGCGTGAGTGGGGTCAGGGGGCTCACAGGGGGTCATGATACGCTTCCCCAGGTAAGGACTCCTGGATGAGTAGGTCACCTGCTCTGTTTCCACACAGATCAGAGCAGGGGGAAAACTCAACTCCTTCCCTACCTGTCATCCCCAGAGTGGAGAAATGACGCTTTGCCTCTTAGATCTGGCCCTCACCTGGCTTGTTTAAAAGAGGCAAGAAACTTGGGGTGCCTACCTTGACCACGTGATAGAATGGTCCTCTTAGAAAATTTTCAGCACTTCCATAGTCAGGTGGACTTCTTGACTCCTGATGAGTCAGAGGGACACAGAAAATGAAAATGTCCCACAAAGCAAATGCATCCGTAAACATGGGGCATTTAGGATTAGAAGGTCCAACAGGAATGAAAAATAGTCCACATTTAGTACTTACTGGGGGCCAGACAAAGTTTTATTTTTTTAAATTTTTATTTTATTATTCTCCTCCAAGGACATGTTCATCGATTTTAGAGAGAGGGAGAGAAACATCGATGTGAGAGAGAAACATCCGTGGTTGCCTGTCACGGGCACCCCTACTGGGGACTGTGCCTGCAATCCAGGCATGTGCCATGTCCTGAAACTGAACCTGCAACCTTTCGGATTATGGGACGATGCTCGAACCAACTGAGCCACCCCGGCCAGGGCCAGGCACTGCTTTTAATGCTTTACGTGTCTCTCGTTCAATTCTCATGGTGACCTCTGATCCTACCCATGGGGTCACTGTGGCGCAGGGAAGTTGATCCTGCCCGAAGTCACAGAGCACAGTGGGCTGCCGACTTTCAAACCTGGGTTGTCTGGGTCAAACTACTCAAAGTAGCTAAATGAGGAAAAAAATTCTAGTTCAGGAATAAAGCTCATTTGGTAAAAAAGAAAACAAAAACCCCCTCAATTTCAGAATGTGTCAGTAGCTTATTATAAAATTCAAAACCTTTAAAATTTATTTCTTTATTCAAAGGTTACTTTCTCAAGTGAAACTCAGCCTGATGTAGCTGACTTTCACGGTGAGGTTTCCTTCTTCCCTGTGAATTTTGTCACCATCCTGTGGGCTGTAGGTCACACTACCTCGTCCCCAGGTGGGCATGACTCTGCTACAGACATTTCAGTCTCGGGAGGTTCGGCAGACAGCAGACATGAAGGTTGCTGTGTTGATGAGCCGGTGGCCACAGCTTTTCCTGGCTTCTCCTTCCAGGGGCCAAGCTATGTCAGGAAAAGAAATTTCTCTATGCCTCAAGTGCATACGATCTGCTGACCACTTCACCTCTGAGTTTACCTGAATGCTTTTTTTCCTAAGGAGAAGAGAAGGCTACGGAGCAAATAAGAATCTCAACACATCGTTGTGGTGTTTGCTTTTGCTGTGACGAAATCAGCCAAGTATTGAGTGCCTGGTATGCACCCGTAATCTTATGTGAACTTGATTTGTTTGAGTTCCAGCTGAGGTTTTCTGGCGAAGGAGTGAAATTGTCTCCGGGATTATTGACTTTCTTTTATGACCTAGCCAGGGACTTTGCACTGGGTTGGGTCAGCACAGGACGGTCTCAAGGCCTTTACCGAAAGTTTGTACCTTGGACCCCCTTCCTCCCTTCCCTATCTCCCTTCTGCCTCTGATAACCAGAGGTCTGATTTCTTTTTCCATGAGTTTGTTTGTTGTTTCGATTCCAAATGTAAGTGAGATCATAACAGAGTTTGGCTTTCTTTGTGTGACTTATTTCACTTAGCATAACGCCTTCAAGGTCCATCTGTGTTGTGGAAATGGTAGGATTGCCAAATTTTTTATGGCTGAATAATATTCCTTTATACCCCCTCCCCCCCTAGCTCCTTTACCCATTCATCTGTCCGCAGAAATAGTGTTCATTTCTGATTTTCAGAGTCAGACAAGGATGCTTATCACTACTTTGCAGAATCAGAGCCTAGTTCATTTCCCAGCTCTTCGTGCCTGGCCTTTTAGTGAACATAAATAGTCTTTAAAAGGACTTAGGTTTCAAAAATAACATATCTTCTGGTCATAAGAGCACATTAATTTTAGATAATTTGGAAAATAAACAAAGACAAAAAGATGACTAACTTAGCAACCACTTTTCATTTTGTGTGTGTATGTGTGTGTGAGAGAGAGAGATTTCTAGTTGTTCCTTTTCTTCTAACAAACTTATCTCATATTTGGGAACATAATGCTTTTTTACTTAATTATATATTTTGACCATATTCCCATGACACTTAAATTCTTGAAAAAACCCACCATCTTCACTTTTGCTTCTTAGTTCATC